CGCCGCCGCCGCCGCCGCTGCCCAGCCAGGCCCCGGCCTCCCACTGCGCCTCGCCCTCCGCCCGCTGTGGCCACAGCCAGACGCCCGCCGCCTTCCTCAGCGCCCTGCTACCCTCGCAGCCGCCGCCCGTTGCTGTCAACGCCCTGGGCCTGCCCAAGGGCGTCACCCCCGCGTGAGTGACAGCAGCATCCCCGCCTGGCCTCCCTGGGGTCGCCTTGCCCCTCCTGCACACACCCGCCAACGTGCGCCCATTAACCTGCAGCCCGGGGGTACCATTCTTACATACTTCCCTCCGTCCAATTTTTAAATTCTTATCTCAGCAGCTTTACCAAGCTGTTCTCGCATAGCTCCCTTACCGCTACGGAGGTCAACACCTTTCTGCGCTGCACAGTACAAGCGTCTCCTCAGGAGCTACCCCAAATCTAGGCGGTACTCTTAATAATTTTGATGATAGTGGCCTTAGCTACTATTTACTGAGTATCGTGCTGTGCGATTCGTGTGTATTCTCTCATTTGGCACATTTCTAAGAGGTACAATTGCCTCACGTATGACTGAGGATTCCACTAGCTAAACAGTTTGTCTAGGGTCACATAGCCAGCAAACTGAGATTTGAATCCATGTCTGACTCCAAACCCATGATCCTACCACCACACTATGTATCTTAATATTTCCGGTCAGTATCACAATAGATGTGAGGCTTGGTTATTAATATCTAAATTAACAGAAATACCTAAATTAACAGAATTAAGAAGACTTCGCATTTATGTAGTTGATGCAGATAAGTGAGGGCGTATGCAGTCTAGTGAAGAAATGACGGTGCTGGTTCTGCCGCAGCTAACAGTGCTCTCTGGGGAGATGACAGTGGGTCGCCTTTATTGCCTATTACCTAATACCTGTCTTTCCTTCTAGTACAATGATAATGATGTGCAGTCCTCTGAAATCTTTAGAGAATCCATGAGGATCGCTAAGATGACATCTACAAAAATACATTAAAATCTTCAAAAGAAACATCATCATACAGGTGTTTGGCACGTCCTGTTGAAGAATAAAATGAGCAAAAGCTAGCACATGCTCATTTTACTAAAGAGTTCAAAAATAAGTGTGTGCTAACAGGGGTCAAGCCAGTTCCCATATCTCAACTCTTCTTGTTGAAGTCCAATTCAGAGTTTGCCAGAATCCCCATATTGTTCAGAGAGAAACGAAGGAAACCCTACTAAGGAGTAAAAATGAGAAGACCTTAGAGTTCAGGTTATTTTCATTCATATAAAAACTTTTCCATTCTGGATGCACTAATGCCACCTTAGAATGAGCACTGCTGTTCAACTTTGACAAGGTGTATCAAGGAGATACAGTTAGCAACATCTTGTTTTGTTAGGCACTTTCTAAATGTTGATTACATGAATTCTAAGTTTTAAATCCCGCTTCTCAAATCTTTATCAGAGAAAATTCAGTCAAATGAATACATAAATAAGTCAAACAAAGGAGAGGAGTCTGTATAGTAACAATGTGGTCACGGGCTTCTGTTGAAAGTTGAGTCAAATTGCCTGAGAAAATCTATTTCTCCCCTACTTTTCTGTTTGAGCTTGTATTTGGCTAATAGGAAGGGAAGTATTATCTTGATACAAAGAAGGTTAACTGTTAGATTCCAAAAGTGGGAGTTGGTTGCATGGTACTTTTTGTCCTCTCTTACTGTGAAATGGTACCAAATATTGCTTCCCAGCAAGATGAGTAGTGTATAAAGGATCTAATATTCCTCATATAGAATTTGATCAAAAATTTGTCTATCAAAAGGCATTGGGTGGTTATGCCTTTTAGCATCCTAAGTAGAAACAGTGGTTTATTCCGATTTTTGACTTTGAAATTCTCTTAAGAAGATAAGCAGTTTTATGAGCTTATTTCAAGTAATAGAAGCACTTGCTTGTTATCCGCATCTATTATAGTTACTCATTTTACGGAATCAAAAATTTTATAATTGTTACCATAAAAGAGTCCATTTGCTCCTGCTGTTTCTTAAAAATTAATGTAGTCATGCTGATTTTGTGGTCGTAGAAAATTGTACCCAAAGATAGTTAGGTGCTGTGACAGCAAAGATAAATGGCAATACCAGGCTGCAGATTTTTAGCTCTGTACCAGCCTAATAAGCCATCATTTATACGGTTACCCTTTGTCTTCAAGGAATTGTCCTACCCTAAATCAGACACTTGAAGAATTCATTCCTTTGGTTTGATACATGTGATTTGGTTTGATGCTTGCATTCTGAATGAAAAAAAGGTAGCTATTTATCTACCGCAATCATCCACATAATTTGCCAAAGACTGAGCGTCCCTTTCAGGGTTGCCATTAGTAATGGCATCCTTGAACTGGTACGAACTGCCAAACTCTTGTCAAATGAATCTTGTAAATTACTTTCGTTTATATGTTATTGGTAATGTGTGGTCATTATGACAGCAAATTCAGTTTCACTTGTATGTGTTATTTCTTTTACTAGATGATTTCGCCATATGTCAAGTTCCAGTAAATAGTTGATTACACATGACTCAGTGAAGTAGAAACACATTAGATTCTTTTCGTCTGCCTCGTTTTAACAAAATCTTAAATATAAATTTCAGATACCTCAGTTTTCTTAATCACCAATTGCATACTTGCTATCTTAGTCTGTTTGTATGTTTAGCATTGTCCTTGAAGGACAGGTTAGTTATGTATTAAGTTCCTGAATAGCCTGTGGAGATAAGGTTCTGTTTCTCAGATGTCTCTGTGGCAGAGGTCAAGGCAGGGAACAAAGGCCATGGATGCCAGTGATCAACCACAAAGTCAAGACAAATGACAGCGGGCCTCTGACAGCCTCGCAGCAACAGTATTCAGTTGTTGGTTGATTGCACTTTAGGGAACTTCAGCACATCCAGTTCCTCTAGTGCCTCTTTCTTTAGACTGCTACATTTGTCCCCAAAGCCAGTGGGGTCACTAGCAGAGAAAATTCCACCCTTCTCAAAGATGCTGACAGACACAAATGTTGACTAAATCTTTCAGATAGGGCAGTGAAGAAAACATGCCTTAGAGAAAAATCTCTTCGCATTTTTTTACTCACCTCACAATTGCTGATAGTTTTACAGCTTCCATTGCTGTATTGGTGTTCTACACAGTAAATCAGCCTGAAGAATTGGTGGGAATCCAGAGGATTTGGGAGCGCCACCTGGGGATAGTGCTACAGTTTCCTCTCTGCCGGTCTCTGAATGGTTGTACCTAGCTCAAGGTGAATCAGATCAGATCCAACCCTGAGAACCAGCCTGGCACTGTATTTTGGCCCACCTTCACATTCTTGGAATCTGTTCTCATAAGAGGGTACCACATAGCCACTGAGCTCCAACGTTTTATAGTTTCCATTGCTTTGGAAAGTATAGAAGTAGGGCTTTCGTTTGAAATGTTACCCCATGTTTGTCAAAAGTGAAAGCATGTGTCAGTAAGAGCTTTTATACAGATGTATTAATGAGAACTTTTATTCCATAGACACTCAGCTCTTTATAGATATTATCTCATTGTCCCTTTCTCTCTGATTTATGAGAAGCAGGTAGGTGGGGACACTTATCATTCTACATTCAAGGTGAGAGGCACCAAGAGGTGAAGGGATTTCCCAGGGTCCTGGAATTAGCTTGAGCAACAGAGGGTATTCACTGGATCTAATGACTTAGCTTGGGGTGTATCGCCCAGGTTTATCTCTAACAAATCTGATGTCTGATATTTTGTAAT